GTGGTGCTGGGGGATTGAACCGCGGTCCCTGTGCTTTGCTAAGCTTGTTCTAAGTAGGTGCTTTAGACCACTGAGCCATCTCACCAGCCCTGTTCATTGATTTTTAACACTGTCTTGGCTTTCTTTTTATAATTCAAGTGCATCATTGTGAATTGAGTCAAGTGTTTGACAATTCTCCTTCCCTGTGAGAATCTCTTCATGCTTTGGCACATGTCTCTCTTAGGGCTCCCAAGGATATCATCAGAATATTCTCAGCCATCAATCTTTATGCTCATCCTAAGCAATGATGGTTTCTAGGCTGCAAGGACCAAAACTCCAAGCTTCAATTCTGCACAAAGGGCAAGCTTAGGGTGGGTTTCCTAAAGAAGATCCTCCCCTCCCCAGCTCTGCCACAGATAAGTGTGCTTTCTGTCTTCTTTGTCCCTCTCCTCCCTAGGAGTGCTGTCTCCCCAGGGTGCTAGATTTAGGCAGGGTTTTCTGTTCTAAACACCCACTTGGCTTGGGATCCAAGCCTCATCTCCTGATGTGAGGGTGTAGGAAAGCCCACCCAGATTCACCGTGAAGGCCATTCCCGTCTGCACCTCCCGCCGTGCGCAGTCACAGCTCCTGTTTCCTGTTCCTGCACCTGTGCTTTTCCCATTCTTATCTTGCCCCACAACTATTTAGATAATCAATTAGAGCAATATGAGTTAAATTTTCATTAGGTAAGTATAGCACGGTAGGAGGTGTCCAGGGTTCCGTGGCTTTTCATTTGGTTGGAACTAAAAGTATCTTCTCAGGCTCCTTGCCCGGGAAACTGTTTTCTGCCCATAGGTATACCTTGTTCTTGGCTTTTCTGTTTTTTAAGTCTGGAGTCCTCATCTAGCACCACTTCTCATTTTTTTTCTGTTCTGAAGTTCCTCTCTTATCCTACAAGGACAGCTTTTTCCTTTTGGTTTGATTTGGTTTTTTGAGACAGGCTCTCACTATTCAGTTCAGGCTGACCTTGAGCTCACTATGGAGCACAGGCTGGCCCTTAACTCACAAAGATTTTCCTGCGTCTTCTGGGATTACAGGCACACATGACCATGCCTGACTACAAGGATTTTTTTTCTAGCAAGTCTATACCTGGGCTTCCTTAGGAACAGTTTCTATTAATTTATTCTCTTTTTTTTTCCTGTGGCCATATTTTCTTGTTTCTTTGCATGTCTTGTACTTCTGTTGTTCACATTATAAGACCAAATGTTTTTCATATTATAATGTAGTTATTTAGAAATTGGATTCTTTCTTCTTCGTAGAATGTGTTGTTGAGAGTTGAACCCATTTGTATGTTTCATGACTTTTCTAAATTTTTTTGGAAAGACTTTTCTCATGTGACTTTTAAATTTCAATAGCTTGACGATCAGCTATTGACTTGACAAAGATTTCCTTGAGAGTCAGAATGCAAAAAGAAAATACCCAGAGCTGACCCTGTGTCGCAGTATTCGTCCAATACTGGCCTGGCTGTTTGTGATTATACTCCGTCTTACTTTTCACTTTCTGCTTGTCAGAAGCCTAATGGTCATCCAGGAATGAAAGTTTGGGGTCTCTTCAGATCTCTTTTTTTTCTTTCATTTTAAAAAAAATATTATGTATTTGACACAGGGTGTCACTACCCAGCCTGGACTTGTAGTGATCCTGTTTTCAGCCTCCCCAGTGCTGGGATTACAAGCATAAGCCACCATGCCCGGTCTTGGTGGCTCACTCAGTGTGCCTGGGGGCGGGGCTGGCATGGCATGTGGAGCCAGGAGCAAATCCTAATCCCTGCGCTTGTGCAGGCAGGTGCTATCTCGCCAGCTCTAGATCTTTCCGGAGTATATGTCCAGTCCTAGGGCTGTGTGTGACCTAGATTCCCTGCTATATACGAGAAAGGGTTCAAGGCCTCACTTTACACCTTTCAGTTCACTGACTCTCTTCAGTGCTGTCTGATCTACTATTCAACTCACTTATTGACATTTTTATTTCAATAATTATATTTTCTATCATAGGGTACTTTAAAAATCTGTCTATGCTGTTCTTAAAGGGTCTTAGAGCTTATATGTACAATAATTTTAAAATAGTTATTATTTTCAGCTCTCCTTTTATCAGATTCTTAAGAGTCTTAATCCTTCCATTTGTTATGTTCATTGATTTTTTTTAATTTATTTATTTGTGTGTGTGTGTGTGTGTGTGTGTGTGTGTGTGTGTGTGTGGCCAGCTCAGCCCACCAGGGGGCGGGGCTGGATGGCATGTGGTGCTGGGGGATTGAACCGCGGTCCCTGTGCTTTGCTAAGCTTGTTCTAAGTAGGTGCTTTAGACCACTGAGCCATCTCACCAGCCCTGTTCATTGATTTTTAACACTGTCTTGGCTTTCTTTTTATAATTCAAGTGCATCATTGTGAATTGAGTCAAGTGTTTGACAATTCTCCTTCCCTGTGAGAATCTCTTCATGCTTTGGCACATGTCTCTCTTAGGGCTCCCAAGGATATCATCAGAATATTCTCAGCCATCAATCTTTATGCTCATCCTAAGCAATGATGGTTTCTAGGCTGCAAGGACCAAAACTCCAAGCTTCAATTCTGCACAAAGGGCAAGCTTAGGGTGGGTTTCCTAAAGAAGATCCTCCCCTCCCCAGCTCTGCCACAGATAAGTGTGCTTTCTGTCTTCTTTGTCCCTCTCCTCCCTAGGAGTGCTGTCTCCCCAGGGTGCTAGATTTAGGCAGGGTTTTCTGTTCTAAACACCCACTTGGCTTGGGATCCAAGCCTCATCTCCTGATGTGAGGGTGTAGGAAAGCCCACCCAGATTCACCGTGAAGGCCATTCCCGTCTGCACCTCCCGCCGTGCGCAGTCACAGCTCCTGTTTCCTGTTCCTGCACCTGTGCTTTTCCCATTCTTATCTTGCCCCACAACTATTTAGATAATCAATTAGAGCAATATGAGTTAAATTTTCATTAGGTAAGTATAGCACGGTAGGAGGTGTCCAGGGTTCCGTGGCTTTTCATTTGGTTGGAACTAAAAGTATCTTCTCAGGCTCCTTGCCCGGGAAACTGTTTTCTGCCCATAGGTATACCTTGTTCTTGGCTTTTCTGTTTTTTAAGTCTGGAGTCCTCATCTAGCACCACTTCTCATTTTTTTTCTGTTCTGAAGTTCCTCTCTTATCCTACAAGGACAGCTTTTTCCTTTTGGTTTGATTTGGTTTTTTGAGACAGGCTCTCACTATTCAGTTCAGGCTGACCTTGAGCTCACTATGGAGCACAGGCTGGCCCTTAACTCACAAAGATTTTCCTGCGTCTTCTGGGATTACAGGCACACATGACCATGCCTGACTACAAGGATAGCTTTTAACAAAAAGGCCGGACAGGTGGAGTTAGAGGTGTAGACTGGACTCCTGAATTTTTTTTTTTTTTTCTGAAGCTAACTAGCTGAATGTCCCAGGGGCAAGTTATTTGGCTATTGTGAGTTCATTTTCTCAAGTATAAAGTGAGTGGAATTGGAAGTAAAGGGCTCCGAAAGCAGGCTGAGAATATGCTATGAACAAGGGGATCTGGGACTTGGGGTTTTATCAGTTGGCTGGGAGGTGAGCGGAATGCGCTCTGTGATTACACAAGTGATGGGCAAGGACTAGAGTCTGCCAGTCCTGAGACACAGTGTCAGACACTTTACATGTAATCAATCTCACAAGGGATTATTACTGTCCTCTTGCTCAGATGAGGAAACAGAGGCTCACAGTGGCTAGGAAACTTGCTTAGTTTGTTTTGTGTAGGACTGCTTCAGCCTGAATATCTTTCTGAACCAAACATTTTTTATAGGCTATTTCTTAGAGGCCTAAGGCTGTTTTGGAGATGAGTTTTAAAAAATTCTCATTTGACTCATTAATTTAAAAGAAGACTTATTTTCTTTGAATTCTGGAATGATCTCCCCAGTGTGTGCTGGTAAAGAGATTAGGAGGAGCAGCTGGTTGTCACACCTCTGTCCTCCCTCCAAGGACAGCAGAGCCTTGGACCCTCGGACACAGTACAAGACCAGCCTGCCAGGGATAGTCTGCCCACGCCCACGGACAGCCACTGCTTTGGAGCAGTTTTCATCCTCGGGTACCCCTCCACCTCCCAGCTGCCCTTGAGCGGGTCCCATCTGAGTCCTGAGTGCCAAGTATGGGAGGTGAGGCTATTTCTCCACATGCTCACTCTCCTGGTGCCCAGCCATGTGAACAGCACACCAGGGTCACTCCCCAGGACCCTCACTTACGGTAACAGGCCACAGGATGAAGGGCAGGTATCTTTGGATGGCAAAGGAGTAGAGCAAAATTAAGAAGAGGAAGATGGATATCTCCATGGTGATGATGAGCAGCAAGATGGGGTGCACGCCAGGGACTGACTTGAACAGTACCAGTGTTGTAATCAGGAAGCCCTGCATGGAAGCACACCCTTGAGGCTCTCTGTGGACCTCAGGTGTCCCTCGGGACACCCTCTGCCCAGCCTGACTTACCCCCTCCCAGGGAGTACCAGCCCAGCTCACCAAACTCAGGAACTTGACCACGCCGTGCCCAATGACCCAGAACTCTTTATTGCTGTCTTTGAGCTCCCACCGGTAGCGGCGGCACCCCTTCCGGGTACCCACTTCATCCTTGGGCTGTACCTTTTGTTGATCTCCTTCTTTTTTTTCCTCCCCAGGTTTGGCTGGAGGTGGTGGTGCCTTATCAGCCATTGGTGGCCTGAGTTCTCAGCTTCTCACGGCCTGCGGTCCCTGGACAGGCCTGGCATACGAGTGAGCCTGTTGTCTACCGACCTGTTCAGAGACCGAACTCAGCCAACCGCCAGGGTGGCCAATGCCAACGCCTGCGTGCGCTCGGCGCTCTCGGCGCGCGGGGCTCACCGCTCAGCCCGCGTGGGGCGAGGGCGTGAGGCGTGCGACATGGGGTGGCCCTGTGCCCGCCCCAGCCAACCCCGTTCGCTGTCCTCTCAGAGCGCTCAGCCTCGGGCTGTGAGCAGCTCCCCTCCTGGCCCTAGCTCCCCCTTACAAGGTAGCCCTCGGCCTGGCCTGGCCTCCGGGGCGGGTCCCTGAGGTCGTGCAGGGCCATGCGCGTGGAGGGGCAAGGCGAGCTCACACGAGGGGACACAAGCAAGCAGCAGTGTTCCTTACTCCAGAGCCCTGGGTCTGTGGCCGCTTGAATTCCCGAGTGAGGGACGGAGTGCGGGGCGGGGAAGGGGCGTGGGGGCGGCGCCGGGCAGCAAGTCCATCCCGGGCCTCGACGATGACGCTGCTTCCGTTTCCAGGGCTCTGTTCTCACAAGTCTTCATCTTCCTAGTGACCACCTGCCTTGGTGGAACGGGCTCCCTCCCCAGCACTGAGCTCAAAGTTGGCACAATCCAGTGGGAGCCACAATACTTACTCATTGATTATGGAATGCATTCAAATAATCTAAACTCTTTATTTTTCTGGATTAATTTCTGTCCTGTTGTGTAACTTCTTGAATCAAGGTCTGACCCTCCCCCATCTTCCAAGCGTTTGACCTGCAGTTCCTGGTGTTCTCCCACAGATGTGGGCTTCCGTCCTGGTTTGTTCCAGCCTTGTACCCAGGCAAAGGAATTTAACCTCACTTCCTACAGCTATAAAAATGAGATGCGTGAAGACGAAGTCAGCGCATGCCCGCTGGGTGCTTCACTAAGGCAGCCTTCCTTCCTCTTTCCTGAATAGTCTGACTGGCTTCCTTCTGACAGGGCACTTAAAAGACAAAACAAAGCAAACACCCTGCAGCACCTCTTCTCTTTTGTCTTTAAAATAAAATTCTGCAGTCCAGAAAATCAGTCTTATAGATAGGCAAAAATATTTTTGTTGAATACTCCAAAAATGGTGGTATATTCTCAGGAGCTCTGCAGGCTTTTTGTTGTTGTGTTGTTTGTTTTTAGAAAACTACACTTGCGATTTCCACAAGCTTAGAGTTTATATAATGTCACATCATCTGAGTAAGTCATTACAAAAAACAGAAAGGGGGGCAGTGGGGATTTCCTTCTGCAGGTGACAATGATGGTTTGCCAGTCTCCTCAGTGTCCTACACACTAATCTGAAATGAGGTCAGAGATGCCTCTACCCAGCCCTCCAACGTAGAACAAATGTCTTTTTTCCTTTTCTCTCATTGTCTGGGCAGCAACCACTATAAGGGATGTAGTGGAAATGAAACTGTTGATAAGGTCCTGCTGTAACAGAGTAGAAGGGCTAGTCGATCCCGATCTCGGGGCCTGATCCCGGGCCCTGCCATGCCAGGCCCACCCCCGGGGTGCCCTGAGAGGGCAACTGACACTAAAATAAATAAATAAATAAATAAAAGTTGAAAATTGTCTATTTTAGATGACAATATAATTTTATAGAATATTTAAATTGGTCTGGGGCTGGTGAGATGGCTCAGTGGTCTAAAGCACCTACTTAGAACAAGCTTAGCAAAGCACAGGGACTGCGGTTCAATCCCCCAGCACCACATGCCA